CTGAAAAATGTAAGGTTCTCCACCTTGGGAGGAAAAACCTGTAGCATGTTTATAGGCATGCTACGCTGGCTAGCGCTACAGATAAAAGGGACTTGGGGGTCATGATTGACCACAAGATGAACATGAGCCTGCAATGCGATGCTGCGGCTACTAAAGCGACCAGAACACTGGCTTGCATCCATAGATGCTTCTCAAGCAAATCCTGGGATGTCATTCTCCCCCTGTATTCGGCCTTGGTGAGGCTGCAGCTGGAGTAGTGCATCTGGTTTTAGGCTCCACAATTCAAGAAGGATGTGGAGAAGCTTGAGAGAGTGCAGAGAAGAGACACGCGTGATCAGAGGTCAGGAAAACAGACCTTACGACGACAGGCTGAGAGCCACGGGGCTCTTTAGCCTGGAAAAGCGCAGGCTCAGGGGTGATCTGGTGGCCACGTATAAGTTTGTCGGGTGACCACCAGGATCTGGGGAACGTTTGTGCACCAGAGCGCCCCAAGGGATGACGAGGTCGAACAGTCATAAACTCTGCCATGACTGATTCAGGCTGGACATAAGAAAGAGCTTCTTAACTGTCTGAGCCCCCAAGGTTTGCAATAGATTGCCATCGGCAGCAATTCAAGCACCTGCTTTGAACACCAAAGCACATCTGGATGCTTATCTTGTTGGGATCCTATGATTCCTGCTGGCTTCCTGACCTGGGGGCGGGGGGGCTGGACTCAATGATTCTCTGGGGTCCCTTCCAGCCCAAATGCCTATGAAATCTTGGGGCTCTGCACCCCTAGTTGCTGACGGACAAAACTCATGGATAGGTGACTCTGTGTGTGTGCGCGCGCGCGCGTGCGCGTGCATGCACGCACCCTCACTCAACGGACACCAGCCAAGGCAGAAAGCCGGGCAGTTCAAACAATGCTGCCTTTTATGCAGTTTTTCCATCCCCCCCAGAGCCCGGGGATAGGAAGGGGCCTCAGGAAAGGATGACAGTCACTGGCCAGCTACACAGTCAATAATGAGAGTACTCTCCCCCCCACCACTTTAGTTTCTCTTTCCCTGCAAGCTCAGCTGGAGCTTCGAAACTCAAAATGTTTAGAAAATTTTGAAATGTTTTGTTTTGAGGCTGTTTCGATTTCACTGTTTCAAGCTCAAAATGAGTCGAAACAGTGTCAATTTCACGCAGCTCCAGGCGCCCCGTGGGTGGCCAGGGTGTGGCGTTGGGGGGCTATCTCTAATGTCACTGCTGCCCCATAGCACTGGTTCCAGATCATGGGCTGGTGGGGAATTGGGGGGGGGGGGGGTGTCAGGTCGCATCCAGCCTAGCCTCCCCTGCCAGCAAGACAGACAGTCCAGCACCTTTCCCCACTGCCATCCTTCCTTGCAGCCCAAGCTGTGGGTCTTGGTCCATGGGGGTTGGTGCCTCCTGCTGCTGCTCCAGCTGGGAAAAGGCCCCGAGCCCTGGTCCCTGTGGTTGCACCCGCACTGCTGTCCCCAGCCCCCACGGCCCTGGGACAGGAAGGAGGTTGTTAAATACCCCAGAGAGCACAGGCCCAGGCTGCGTCCCTGCTGCAGAGGAAGGCAAAAACCCTCTAGTCTGAGCAGGGAGAAATCCCTTCCTGCCCCAGTGCAGCACAGGGCTGAGCCTGAGTGCAGGGGCAAGACCCTCCCAGCAGGACCCTGCAGGTTGGTGGCAGCAGCACTGGCACGGCACGGCACAGCCCATCCCAGCCCCAGCCTGGGATGCAGCATCCAGCGCCTCTGGGGGAGGTACCCCTGGGTACCTGTAGCAGAAAGGGGTGGGAGGATCCTTGCTGGCCCCTCATCTCCTCACGCGTGTTCATATGCAGCAGGTGCTTGGCACGGCTCTCATCCAGCGCGGCTGCTGGCACAGGCTATGTGGGTGCAGCTAGGTGCTGTGGCATTGCCCCTCATCCCGGAGGGCACTGGCCTGTGTGGGGATGGGGAAGCCTTGGGCTCTGGCTCCCTCCCTGGTGCCTGCCCCACACATGGAGCCGGAGCCCTCCCAGCTCAGTACAGCTCCTGCCTCTGATGCCCGAGGAAGGACAGGGGTTGGTGTCTCCCTGAGTCCATGGATGCTGCCTGGCCTGGTCTGTGCAAGGCAGAGTCCCACCGCGGTAGGCCCAGGTCCCTGCAGCACTGGGCTGTGGCACGGCCTCCCCCCACAGACCCCTGAGACATCCAGCCGCTGTCCCAGTGCCAGCACGGCCTCGAGTCCTGGCCCCAGCAGCTGCTGGGGGAGAGGAGCGGAGCCTGGTGCCACCCCGTGCCCCCCACATGCAGCATGGCAGCGGCCTTGCTCCTGGTACAGCCAGTGGGTGAGCCTGCGTGGGCCCTACCCAAAATTTCCCAGCAGAGCAGATGCTGCTGGGCTCCCTCCTTCACCTTCTACCCCTTATGCGGTCTCAGCCCCAGCATCTCCACTGCTGGCCCTGAGCAAAGCCAGGCCCAGGAAGGGGGAACCCTGGCTCCAGGGGCATACGGGGATAATTTGACCTCCACCCTGCAGGGCAAGGTCTCCAGGCAGCAGAAGAACGACAGCCACGAGGTAGAAATCTCCTTAATATAATTAGGTGCAGGCCCCCCCAACCACACACACACGTACAGGTCGGCTGGGCTGGGCCAGACCGCTCACCGCTGCAGATGGCCTCTGACTGGTCCTGGCAGGGCTAGGCGGCTGCTTGGCCGCAGCAAGGGCCATCACTGCGCTCCGGCTGCCCCGCAGGTCCTGCAGCCTGCTGCGGGGCACTGCCGGTGCCCGCGTCCCTAGGAGGGAGCATGCTGGGGGCAGAGAGGCCGACGCTGCGGTGCAGCGGGCCAGGCGAGGAGTCCCAAGCGGGTTAGTTCTAGCGGGAGGGTTATGCTACAAGCCGGGAGGCAGTGGGGCGGGCGGGTGGGGGGTTGGGGCCGG